TTCAGCTAAGTAATTTCGAATTATATTTAATGTGTCTCCAATACTCTCAGCACATGGGAGTTCTTTCTAAGCTTTCTTTGATTTCTTTGTTTGTGTTAATAGAAACTGCTGCCAAAAGAAGAGAAACTAAAAGTGGTGAGGGTGTACCTATATTGGAAGGATTACCACCAAATGAGGTAAGTGAAATACACATTGTTATCAATACCTCTGTACATTCTGGCATAGTTCAGACTCAATGATATTTCATGCTGTTCACTTTACCCCTGATTTTGAAAGTGATTTGTCCACTGGCATCAAATCTGTAATTAAACAACAGATTGCCATTTCAAAAGTTTTATATTTTTAGTCAATAATTTGTTAAAACAATGTAATTATATATAATCCCAGGATATTTGCTTTTACTTTCATGTCAACAGACACAAGTGATTACTGCTGGAGTTTTGTATTAATTCAAGCTGCTTTTGCCACATTTTGCTTGAATTTCTTTACAATTTCAACCAATTTTTGGAGAGACTGAATAATTCAGAAAATACAAACATGAGCTCACGGAAATTAACCATTGTTACCACAATCCATAGTTATTGTATTACATCCATAAGTTACAGCATGCAATATCTGCATCCTACTTTAAGCGAGTTCCAAATATGTGACGATTATTCAATATTTTCAAGTTAGATGTTTTTGAAACAAAGTTCATAACAAGAAAGTTCCAATAATTTACACTGTTTTCATTGGAGTGTGTAATAATAAGGTTATTATGAAGATATCACATATCAGATATCGCCCCCATTGATTGATAATCGCACTGTGCTGTGCTTGTTCATATTTTGTGGTATCTTCCTAATAACCTTATAATATTTATTGTATAAAGAAAGATAAATAAATTACATAATTGTAATATTCAGGCACCAGGTCATCAAGAAGTTTTCATCAATGAACCAAGACTGATGGAGTTTAAACAGATACTGCTACGAAATGGAATACAGGCAGAGTTTGTTGGTGGAGTTATTATATGTAATAATATGGTGGCAGTTAAGAGAGTAAGTATATCTTCTAGAGTTGAACATTATTTTGTTGTGTAGCCCATCTCAATAGATCCAAACAGTTTTGTCACTGTGAGTAACGTGCCTCACCCATTTATAATTTATAGAAATGTTTAAAAAAGTTTATTTTCACTATTAATAAAATGTACTGAGAATACTTGGTTCTTGTGGTTTACATGTAAGTTCTCCAATAGAATTGTGCATGTGTACAATCACCGTACTGTTCTATCATTGTACCATTCACTGGTTTGTATATACCAAGACTTTTTTTTTTTTTTTGTGTTTACAACATTTTTTTATTGGGCTTCTTTAATGAAGTTACATAGCATATAAAACTTATGAAACCTTAGTATTTTCTAAGTGTACATTATGTGATACAAGGAATCAAGGGGGACCACTTCTTGTAATGTGCCTCTTGTTTATCATTTTGTCTTGCAATTTGTCTTTCAATTTCAAAATATCTTTTCAGCAAATGCTTGAAATTTAGGTAGTTTGGCACTGTTTTTTTGAATTTTGAGAAATAGATATGTTTTCTAGC